TTAGAAAGAAAGTCAGAATACTGAGATTAAAGCCAGAATTCTGTAGTCTAGTAAACTAGCCCCACCTGCCAGCGGCCAAAACCATTTCTGCCTCACAATTAATCTCATATTTAGTCAGGCTAGGTTTATCAGGCTAAGAATGGTAATCTAATAATGGAATTATTAGATTAAAGTCAGAATTCTCAGAAGAAACTTAGAATTCTTAGAAAAAGTCAGAATTATTAGATTAAAGTCAGAATTCTCAGAAGAAAGTTAGAATTCTTAGAAAAAAGTCAGAATTCTTAGATTAAAGTCAGAATTCTCTAGCCTAGAAAACTAACCCTATGTGTCAGTGGCCAAAACCATTTTTGTCTGCGCATTAAATTAAACATTTGATCTATTTAGTCTGGTTTATCTGGCCAAGAATTCAGAGATCAAAGTCAGAATTACGAGATTAAATTCAGAATGCTGAATTTTTCCCCATATTAAACTGAATTAATATTTTAAAAATCTGTTATTTTTATTCTATTTTTATTTTTAGTGGCCCTAATCCATAGGTGGATCTACTGGGGTGGCATAGGGTGGCATATGCCACCGTAAATGACAGCCTTGCCACCCCTGCTGCCACCCCAGTTGGCTGTAGGGGTGGCGAGGTTTATAAATTATGGATAATTTGAGAATTACGACCGCTAATTTTCAATGTCGGACTGCAGTGAATGCAGCACGAGATGACGCGAGAGCGACTGAGACTGATTAGTTTTGAAAAACCGAATGGGGCAAAGCGAGGGAGCCAGGGGTCATGGGGAGAGGAGACACGGGATGAAACAGGTAAAAACTGATCAACCATCTATTGAGAAATTAAATTATAATGAAAGCACAATGTTGCTAGCATAGCTGCAATGCTGATTTTGAGATGATAAAAATCAGGTTGCAGAACGTTATTTCTCTAACTATGATGTTAGCTAGGCCTGACGTCTAAGGCTCATAAAGACATATTTGCGGTCAACTTTGACAGAAAAGAGACTGTAAAGTTTGGTTGAACTCAAATCAAAACGCACAAAGGCATTGGATCTAAATAAATTTGAGAAGCGTTTTGCTGAGCAACATGGAAATCGCCGCATTCAGCTGTCAACTTTATGTTATGCTCTCTGGTGAGCCTTTACAGGGCTGTTACATTTTGTTTTGGCACCAGAGAAAATCTGATATTTCCTTAACCTGACTTCGCCAGATGGATTTGCTGGATTTGCTCCGCATATCCATCTGGAAACCTTCCGTTGAAGTAATTTTGGGAAGGGGCGAAAATACTGGTTAGCTGATTGACCTATGTTGGTGATAGACGGGCCAAATAAACCAATCAGATCAACGAAGCATATGACGTACTAACAGAGCGACGACGAAGAGGAGCCAATTGATAGATCAAACTCTTGCCGAAACCAGTCGGGAGAAGAGCAAAAACATCTTTTCCTCTGAGAAAGGCCTCCAGAGCAGTGTTTTGAACTTCTTTCAGTGAAGAAATACTCTGTAATTCCGATAAAACTTGCTCGATAGCCACGCTAACGCTAGTTTCATCGGCTGAAGCCGCCATGTTCTGTAGACTGAACTGTGGCGCTTCTCGTTGCGTCACACCTCAACCCGCCTCAAAGCCAACGCTGATTGGACGTTCGTTTGGTGAACGGCTCCAAATTTTCTTTAACGGAGAGACTCCAGACTGATCTGGGAGTGAAACCTTGAAAGCTCGCAAGATCAGGATGGTCTCACGAGGCTAATATTTCCTTTAATAAAACCAAAAGTGTTAAAAGTAAAGTTAAAAATGTAATACTGGTGTAAATCCTTGTTTAATATGAAGCAGTGTTGTTGTTTCTTTTTTTTGTATATATAGTATGAAACTATCCAGAAATGACCTGTATGAACCTACTCACAAAATGTTTGTACTTTTTCAGACTGGAAGCAAAATTTATTTTTTTGTTGCTTCTTTTCAGATTTGTGGAGATTTTGATGTAACATACAGTACGTGCCTTTTTGTTATTTTGTTGATACAGCAGCTCTATCTACAGCATATTTACATGCATGAAATGTCCCTTTCATGTTGCCTTAACTGCTGTATGACAAGTTACTGAGGAACAAATGTGGTAAATGTGTGTTCAGAGTAAACAATACATAGATGTCCAGTACCTTGTTTGGGTGCCTTGACCCTTTTATTTCTACTGTGTATTTATGCTCACTTTAGTACAGCTCAGTCCATAGATCTCTGATGGGTAACTTTTTCTTTTTTATAGTTTCTTCTCTGACAGTCAATCTCACACATCTGTGACTCAGCGCCTGTGTCTTACCTTAATACCTTTCCTGTGTTAATGCCCCTCTAGAAGTAGTGTTATCATTCTTCTATCTCCTATTAGGTGAGATCACATTGTACGATGTATTTCTAATATGAACTGTTTCACATGAAACACTTACTCTACATACTATTCTCACCAAACTGTGATAACTGTGATTAAATTCAGTGTAAACAAATGCCACACGTTGCCACCCCTCAAAAATTCCTGCCCCCCACTCGCCACCCCATAAATATTTTTCTAGATCCGCCCCTGTGCCCGCACTGACGCGGCTCAGTGATTACGTCACATGCAGCGTCGTACGCAGTGCCCTAGTGCCTGTAAATTTAATGGTCCAATTAAGGTAATTTAAAAATAAGGACATTTCCTCACTTTCTAAAAAAAAACCCGGGATGTCCGGGACAGGACGTAAAATACGGATATGTCCCGGGAAATACAGACGTTTGGTCACCCTAGTTTACATGCAAAGTCAATGGTTGACGCGCGTCAAGGCGCAGCAAAAGGTCCTGCAGCGCGTTTTGAGCAGCAGGCGCAGCGCGTCTGAGCAGCTGAAGCGACGCGCCGCAAACGCGCTGCTGCTTGAGATGAAAAAATTGAACTTTTGCTGCTCGACACGCTGCATCACTGATGCAGTGTGTCCACTGATTAAGTTTTCAGGTGGATTTTCCCACTTAAAAACATATTAAAACTACTTTATTCCCACTGATCACAGCAAATATAGCTGCAAGGCAGAGAAAGGATAGAGTAGCTCCGCCCAACGTCAGACCCACTTGCTTACAGCTTTCAACAGTGAGATGAGCAGCTTATGACAGTAAAAGAACATTACAATTTAAAGTGCAGCAATGATCATCATGTAAAAAGTGTAGGAGAAAATGAAAAAGGTTCAGTGCAGTGCAAAATAAATATGGTGCAAAATGCAGTATAACTTTTGCGTCCTATTTAAAAGGATTATAAAAGTTTCAGCCACATATTAAACAACTTTTCATAAAGTTTATAGTTTTTTTTTTTTTTTTGCAAACTGTAATGAAGAGCATTCATTTTATTGCACAAATTAGAATTTTTAAATACCAGATAAACAACAGGGTCAATGTCAGCCTGGATTTGACAGCTAATGCACTGCNTATGAAGGCAAGAAATAAAAGAAAAATGCAATCCAGAAAGGAAACTTTGAAAAATGTCTAAATCAAAGAAAACTTTGACAGTAATTATGCTGCTATTCCTAGATTTTTTCAAATTATTATTATTTTCTTTGCTGTCGTTGGCACAGTTTGTAGCACTGCTGCCTTGTAGCAAGAAGGTTCTGAGTTCGATTTCCGGCACTGGCTCTTTCTGTATGGAGTTTGTATGCTTTCCCTGCGTGGGTTCTCTACAAGTACTGCAGCTTCCTCCCACAGTCCAAAAACATGACTGTTAGGTTAATTGGCTTCTCTAAATTGTTGTTATGGGTGACAGTGTGTGTGCATGGTTGTCTCTCTTTGTGTTCCTCTTTGTTCCCTTTCACCAAAGAGTTGCCTTGTCTCTGCTTGCCACAATATTGGAACAGAATTTACTCCATACAGAAACGGTTCTGACTATTAGGTCAAATTAGCTCAGATTTGCTCATTTCTTAGGCTGGAAATAGAAACTTTAAAATAAAAAAACTGATTTTCAAGTTCCCAAGCAACTGGTAACATCAATACTGATCACGTACAGTTGAGAGTATAGAAATGTATGTACGATGAACTATAAAAAACAGGAGAAATGAAATAGAAAGCAAACAGTGGAGAAGGCCTTCTGAGCAGAAATACACAGATAAACATTTCTGTAGAAAGCCCATCACACAACCACACTGTGCACTCAGTGTTTCATGTTGCTTTCAGAGGAAGCGATGCACCAGATGAAACATTTCGTGCCGTTACATTTACCAGATGTGTATTTCAGTAATGCCTCCATCAAACCCTGCTACATATCACCTGAGCTAGCTTTATATGTTTTTAACTGTTCAAGTATTTTTCCAACATTTTCCTTTTTTTAAAGCTTGCCTGCTGATATACAAGTAAAAACTGAGAATATAAATGAGAAAATAGAACTTAGTCTGATGGGTATGGAATAAAGTTTACTCCATTATTGGAAACAAAACACGCATTTGACTAATTGAAATAAAAAAAACCTGGTGTGTAAATTGACATTAGATAAAAAAATGATTTCGATCATTAATTTCAGTTTTTTTCTACCTTTATTTCAGATTGAGTTTTAAAAATTTCATTCTTTTTCAAATTGCGTTTCCAGATCACATTCTTTTCATTTTTTGGGGGCGGGCTTTCCTCTGCAGTGAGCATTAAAGACACGTTTTTATTGGTCTGCATTGCAACATTTTTTATTGGTCAAGAGCGAGCGAATGTGAGAGGAGAAGGTGATCTGTAAAACACAATTTAAAAAGAATCCAATTTATAAAGCTCAATCTGAGAGAAATTAGAAAAAAATAAAACGTGAAACTATAAAATAGGTAAATAAAAAAAGTTACGATTGAAAACATAGAATTTGAAAAAAAAAATTTGCAAAACTTATACGTATAAATCAAAACAGAAATTTATTCTTAAAACTTATTTTTAAATCAAGTTTTTCAAAGTTTCCCCGTGGGTTGCATTACCTTGAAACCATTTGGTTTTTTTTGCTTGCAAAAATAATGGCGCAAAATTCACACCGTATTTATGCAGCTGATTTGGTGCCGGGAGGCAGAGCTGAATAACGTACCATCTTTTCTCTCTCAAGCTCCACCCTGTAGCGGTCCTGGAGTTCAGTGTGGGTCAAGAGGCGCCTTTTCTCTTCCTCGGCTGCTTTTGCTGCCGCTTCCTCCAGAGCCTGATCAAAGGGAAAATCGCATTAATACAAAAACCAGACATTTGAAAACAAATAATAAAAGCAGAGTTTTAACAGGTATTAATAAAGTTTTACGCAGGAGTCTAAAAAGATGAGGAATAATGTTAGGATAAAAACGTTCAGGTGAAAATATTTGTAAATGAACCATGAAACAGATCCACTTTTATTCTCTTTAGGTATAAAGATGACTCATTCAAAAAGACTTTATCTCAGCATTACACACCAAGAAGAGCATGGTTTCAGCCATTAAATGAATTTAATTTAATCAAGCCTATTTTACCTTAAGACTTAGACTTGACTATGCAGAATGTATACAAAAGAAATCACCTTGCTTACAGCTTTCAACAGTGAAATGAGCAGCTTATGACAGTAAAAGAACATTACAATTTAAAGTGCAGCAATGATCATCATGTAAAAAGTGTAGGAGAAAAAGAAAAAGGTTAAGTGCAGTGCAAAATAAATATGGTGCAAAATGCAGTATAACGTTTGCGTCCTATTTAAAAGGATTATAAAACTTTCAGCCACATATTAACCAACTTTTCATAAAGTTTATAGTTTTTTTCTGCAAACTGTAATGAAGAGCATTCATTTTATTGCACAAATTAGAATTTTAAATACCAGATAAACAACAGGGTCAATGTCAGCCTGGATTTGACAGCTAATGCACTGCATTCAAGAATTCATCTAAATGGTTTAAATAGAAGGAGTTTTTTTAAGTACCGAGCAGCATAAATGTCAGAGCAACATTCTGAGGGTTGAAGCTGTGCAGGTTTTTGAGCTGCAGCATCACACAGGAGTGAACTGCATTAAAGACAGGGAGCTAGCTTTTAGCGACGGCACATTTAGTAACGGGGAGTTTAAAGCCTTCGTGTGTCTATTTGTGTCTGTCTGTGTGCTCCTTGTGCATTCACGCAGCTGACAATGAGAGATGGAGTCCTTCACCTCAACGCTAAGCCTGTCGTGCATTCTCGCACGGTCGTCCCACACAAAGGAAACACTGTTCTCTTGTGAGCGCAACATGTGAAATATTTCAGTGCGACCATTCAGCTCCCTGTTTGTCATCATGATGCTGCTGCCTGCACACTATCCTGCAGTGCACTGAGCTCTCTGAAGTCAGAGGTTAATTTCATGCTTTTCAAAAAGGAAAATCTTGAAACTTTAAACTGTTTGTTAGGCTACTGTTATGTGAAAATTAAATGAGTCTATTTCAATATCCATCAATCAATGTGATTAAGGTCTAAAGTTTAAGTCAGCAGTCTAAATTCAGCTGTAAAGTTGACCAATAATAGCGTTATTATTTATTTTTTTTTACAATTTGCAATGTTTGTTATTTTTCTTAAACAAACATGGAGAGAGATGTCATATTTCCCTAAAACTGCAGAATAAGTGTTGGCTCTTTCATTTGTGGAAAAAACAGCACACATGAAAGATGAGCTGGTACTGACAGGTCTGAATACCAAAAACGGACCCACTCCATCTACTAGGACTGGTTGAGTAATTTTTCTATATCTACTGACTCAGCAATAACACACTGACCAGTGAAGGAAATTAACATCCATTAAAGTTCTGTGTTCGTCCCGATCCGAATGACACGATCACAACAAGCCTTTAGAGCAAACCCAACCTGATTTAAAACATTCTTAAATTACGGCATGCTGTCTGACGACAGTGTCTAACTTCACTTGCACTGCTTGTCCTGCTAATACGGTAAAGCCGTCCAGAGCGTCCGGCCCCAGGCTGCACGTGATACAAATTAGCAATGAGCTGCTGTCAGTCTGGGTTGCTGCTGCTAGCACATTCCATCATATCTTCATTCATTTTAAACTCTAGCCATGATTAGAATAAATATACATTTGGCTATATCATCCTCTTGTGTCCACTCCGTGTTTACAAAATGACAATAAAAGTAGGCTAAGTCCAAGTCTTGAATTGAAGTTTAATAAATATATAATAAGCTAAACACTTTTTTTTAAAGTCCTGCAGTACAAATAATTTAAAGGAGTCAGTGGGAAAAGTAAAAAAAAAAGTCAACTCCGAAGATAAATTTCATTAACTGTAAAGCTGACGTTGTCAGCAAACCAAATGTCTGTGATGCAGCTAAAAGAAAATGGTAAATCACCATCAGTCTGTTGAAGCCAGGGGGGGATTTACCATTAGGCCATACTAGGCAGTTGCCTTACCATACCAAAACATGTATGGTTAATACAACTATTCCTCATTTGTGCACATTAATTGTGTTTTTAATAAAACTCATTTAACTAAAATGCCATCAGAACGCTTAGAATATTAAATGTGTCCATGCCCCCCCCATCAGTGTCCACCACATTGTATCAGTCCATTTGCTGCACATGTTCAGAAAGGTCCAAACAGACAGCAGCAAAACATTTGAAAACAAACGATGTTAAGAGCAGTGTTGCCAACGTAGAGCTTTTGTCGCTATATTTAGCAACTTTTCAGACCCCTCTAATGCTTTTATTTTTAAAAAACTCCTAGTGCCAAATCTAGCGACTTTTTTCTGCAACTGGAGACTTTAGGGACAATATATAAAAGCAGCGAACTCTGCTCTCCAAAGCAAGTAAATTTCAGGTAAGCAGGTCATGGCTTGTCTACAGTGAAAAGAAGGATTGTCTTATTTACTTTTGCCGTCGCCTTTTTGGTAACACAGGAAGGAGAAATCAGCTAAGTGAGCTTAGTGATTGGATCTTTCATTCCTTTTGAGACAGCATGAAAAGTCAGCTGAGTACAAAACATAGAGAGGAAAACAACAAGAAAAGGGAGAAGAAGAGAGGGACAAAAACTAAGAACAAATAATGTGTCATTTCTATTAAAATATTTGTATCTGTATAATCGGTGTGTTTTATGTGTTGTCTTCTCCCCTGCCTGTGTTTGCCTAGGGCCGAACAGTTCCTAAATCCGCCCCTGGTTGAAGCATAAAGCTGGATTCTACTGCAGCCCAACAACAGCGTCCGATTAAAGAAATAAAGAGGATTCTGGTTTAAAAAAGAAAACAGCTTTCTAATAAAGTTGTTCATGAGCTGCAGAATGAGGCTGATCTTTCATTTCTATGTATGAGCTGGCAGAAGTTTCAGGGCAAACCATTCATTTCAGTTTTTAGGTGACCCACTTTGATTGGCTGAAACAATAGTTTGTGTGTCTGAAACCAGCAGTGCGTAGAGCAAAGAGCAGCAGAGATAGCAGGGCACTAAAGATACAGAGCTGTGATTTAACATCTGAGGAATGCTGCTGAATCGATTTCAACTACTGAACCAAAACTGGGCAGCTGTGACCTAGAAGTGCTTGCGGGAAAACTATTTTTCATCTTGGGGCATATGAACCTTGAAGAGGTGAAGAATTTAAAAACAGATTATCAGTAAAATATGTTGTCTTTGCATCACTGGACCATTTGTTTACCACTTGTCCCACAGCTTGGTGTAGGAATGTGAGTCATTCAGCAGGTTTGTTTTGGTTTTTGTGAGCAAAGCATGTTTTATTCTGGGACACATGTCTGCCTTCATGCTTCTATTCACACACTGCTGAAAAAAACAACAAAAAAACCAAAACACTCCAATCCAACCTCAACCCTGACAGACTGGATTTCTATTAACCCTTTGCCCCTCCCACCTTGGAGATCAGATAGATTCTCTAATCCAGTGATTTTACAGGTCTAAACACTCAATGACAACTTCCACTTAAAGAGGGTTTAAGAAAACATGAAACAAGCTCAGATGAAGGTTGTGGTGATGATTTGAGTTGTTGTGGTTGAGGCGGTCTTTGCTCTCCTATGGGGCAGAGAGGAAGTGGGGGAAACAGAGCTGCAACCGAGCTGTAATGTGACTAAGCTTCGGTGCAGCTGCTCTGCATCTTCATCTTTTCTTTTTGATTATCTTGAACAGTTTTAGCATTTCTTAAAACAATGTTAGCACTATTTGCAGAGGCAAAGCAAATCATATATCACTTGTCACCTTGCCTTGGAGGGTAACAAATGTCTTAATACAATAAATTAATAACTTATGAAATAATAGTTGAATGTGCATTTAAATGATCAAAACTGGAAATAAATACGTATTTTTTAATAAATTATTTGTATGGGCCTCAATTAAATATATAAATGATTTCATTTTGAACAAGTTAATATAATTAGGTAATGATTTATTAAACTGTTTAATGTTCTTTCTTTGAACCAAATGTAAAGTGTTTATTCGGTAAAGCAAAGTGTGTTTTTATTCTATTATTTCAAAGAGATCCCAATGAGCTTTACAGGAAGGCTGCTTTCCATATCTTCACCTCTTTCTGTATTAAAATGGGTTAATAAACCATCTCCTTTGTCTCTAGCATATCCATTAGTGTTGCACCGATACCAATATACCAGTAGCTTGATAAAGCCATGATGCCAATTATTTTACATCCAAGTAGTATGCAGTTCTTTTTAAATACACACACTCGTCAATTTCAAACAGATGGTATCGGTATCGGCCAATACTGCACAGCCAGGTATCGGGTATCACTGGCATCCTGTCCGCAAACCAAACCTGATGGCATAACTCAGCCTTAAGAACCAAAATATGAATGAATATATCGATGACTGAGAGAAGAAACCAGGAGTTAGAAACCAAAATCAATCAGAGTTTGAAATTTTGAATATCAAACACTTTTCTACCAGTTACAGCAGTGGCATGCACAGACTTTTTGAAGGGAAAGGACAGAAAGAAAACCAACTGTAGGTCAAAACAGTAGAGGGCACTTTAATAAGTACCCAATGGGAACCAGAGGGTTCCCAGGGGAGACTTTAGTGCAAGCTTTGCTTTCCAAGTGGTCACTTTAGCATATGTTTTGGCACCCAAGGGGTCACTTTAGGAGTCACTTTAGTGTGTGTTTGGCACCCAAGGGTCACTTTAACGTGTGGTTTGGCTCACAAGGGGACACTTTTGCATGGGTTTTGGCCCCTATTGTGACAATTTTGCATGAGTTTTGGCTCCAAAGGGGACATTTGAGTGTGAGTTTTGGCTCGCCTGGGGGACTTTTGCATGAGTTTTGGCTCCAAAAGGGAAACTTTTGTGTGTGTTGTGGCTCCCAACTGGGAACTTTAGTGTGTTTTGAGTTCCAAGAGGGCACTTTTGCATAGGTTTTGGCTCCCAACTGGGAACTTTTGCATGGGTTTTGGCTGCCAAGGCGGACATTTTAGCGTGTTTTGGCTCCAGAGAGGAAAATTTAGCGTGTTTTGGCTCCAAAGGCGGAACTTTTGCATCTGTTTTTTTAACAATTGGGCCAGAAGGGCGGGGAACCACCTATACACTTTGCAAGCCACTGGTTTACAGACTGCTGTTGGTGGACACCTATAGGATAATCAGTTCAAGGGTAAGGCTTTTAGCTGAACAGACTACTAAAAACATCAGCATTTTTCATCATCCTGTATATAACAAAAACTGATAATATAATACTATCACAGTAGGAATCAACTGTCCTGGATGGTGACTGGTAGAGCATTGAAAAAAATTACAGTGAAGACTGAGCGCTGCTGACATCATCTGTCACTTTATCTATACTTCCTTTTTGTTAATTTATGTTGTTTGTTTCTGTTTTTTTTCTGCCTTATATAATGAACCACATTCACTCAGATGTTGCCATGCAGAAATGCAGTGCTGTCATCATGCAAAACTTCTTTATTGAACAACGCACAGTAAATCCTCCCAGATGTTCATTGTTTTCAGATTACCTCTGGATCATGTTTGTTTGGAGATTCTATGAGTCTGATAATCACCCAGATGTGGACTGACTGGACTGAGCTCTATGTTTGATCCCTACCTTCCTCATGTTCTCCAGTTCAAGTTGTTTGGCCTCGTTTGCCGTCTGCAGCTCCTTCATTCTCAACTCCAGCTCCTCCTGCTCGGCCTGCTGCCTGAGCCGCAGATCTCGCCGTTTCTGGCGGGCTTCGTGGTGCGGCGCAGGCCGGCCCTGACGCAGCAGGTTCACACATGTCTGAATGGCTAAAAAGAAAAAAAGCACCTTTATACACTTACTACGCTACAAACAAACATCAATGTACTTTATCTATGTACAGTAAAACTAATACTCTACATCTTGATTCATAAACTATCCTAAACATGGCGGTGGCAGTGTTATTGTGAGGATTAGCGTTTCTTTTACAGAAAAGGGGAAGCTTCTCAAAAATGTTGGAAGATGGATGGAATAGCAAGAACTACAATTATGCATTGAGTATTTTTTTCTCTTAGAATGTCCTAGTCAAAGTCTAGATCTAAATGGAATAGACAATCAAAAGCAATACTCAAAAACTCATGTCCACGGGAATCTTTTCTTCTCATCTGTCACATCAAAACCTAATAAATTACACTGCCATCTGTCAGTGTATTTTATTTTACTAATATGACAAATTTATAAGGGTCTGAATACTTTTCTAGAGGGCTGGACCAACCATTAATTAATTATAGCTATGTTGAGGTGACATACATTTTTTTTTAGATTTCAATAAATATTTCCATCAACTCACCCTGGATCCATTCCTGCTTCTTCTTCTTGTCTGATGCGCTGATTTCAAAGCTTTTTTGAGACGACTTGATGAGGAAGAGGCACTTCTTTCCCTCTTTGTCTTGTAAAGACTGCAGCAGAAAGCAATAATAAGCATAAAAATAAAATCCATGTTTTTAAAATTTCTATATAAGCTGTAGAAATGGAAGAGAACTGGCTCAAGAAGAGCTTAAAAAAGCAAAAGCAACAGGGCAGTAGAAACTGTGTTTTCATGCCTCCACGGTGCAGCTTCCGTCCAACAGGATGTCCCCTTTCTTCTCTGTGAGGTCCTCACCAACATAATATGAAATACAGCTGGGCTTAAGCACAAACCAGCGCTCGGTCCAGTTCTTCCTTTTGTGACCTTTCTTCATCATATAACCCTATAAATAGGAAGAAAACAGTTCCTTAAAGTATATATATAATAAATATGTTTAACTACATAGAATAAATAATCAAATAATACATTTGCTGCCATCAAAACAAGATTACTTGATAGAAGGACCTGTAAATGCTTTCTAGCTTCTAAAATAGTCCTGTAAGGTGATTTAAGTTATTTTTCTGAAATTTTCCTCTCTATGTATTTATTTATTCATTTTGTGGCACATTTTTTTGTTTCATTTAGCCTAAAGCAAAACATTGTCTTTGTTTCTTAGAATGGAAAAGTGACTAAATAAAGGTTTACCTCATATTTAGTTTTTTAGATGTGTCGACAATTATTACATATAAAATGCATTGCAATGGCGCACACTCCAATTATGTATTTTCCATATCTTGGCAGTGGAGGAACTGGAAAATAATGGTGTTTCATTATGTTTGCAAATAATGGCTAGTAAATTTCACAAAAAAAGAACAAAAAAAGGTGGTGCAGTGGTTAGCGCGCACAACCTATGTACGGAGGCCTTAGTCCTCGACGCGGATGACCCGGGTTTGAATCTGACCTGTGGTCCTTTGCCACACGTCTCTCCCCCTCTCTCAGGCCTCCTTTCCTGTCAGCCTACTGTCAGAAAAACAAGCCACTAGTGCTGCATAAACAAAACAAAAAATAAATAAATATACATATTTAAAGTTGTGTTTTATATTAAAATTTCAAGTTGCTTTTTTCCTGCTTATTGCTGTGATTTCCTCTGTAGTAAGGAGAGAAAACACAGTTATATTGGTTTTTAGCAACGTAATTTTTATTGGTCAACAGCGACAGTTTGTCGTAAAACTAAGTACAAAAAATTTAAACTTAAACAAAAATAAATCTGCTAACAAATAAAGAATTTTTAAAAAGTAACTGATTTTCTTAAATAATATTTGAGAAAATCTGTAAAAAGAACTTTTTGAATAAATAAAATCGGTGAAAACACAACGTTACTTTCAAAACCCTTTTTGATTAAGACATTTTTAATAGTTTCATTTCTGGATTTATTCTTTTTTTATACATGTTTTCATTACTTGCAAAAATAATGGAACAAAATTCACTCCATAATTTTTTTAGATCTGCCTCTGCAAAGATATGGAAAATGTGCAGTTGCCGCTTGTACCTTTGCAAGACATCCTACATGTTTCGATCAGGGACATTTTTTTGTTTCGCGTTTTGTAGAGCTATTTGCTAATGTTTAATAAAAAAAAAAAAAAAAAAAAACTCCAGTTGGCCACGTGAAGATATAAATCCAGTTGATGTACATTCAACTGGTCAGAACCAGGATGCCCACCTGTTTGAGCACATCCAGGATGAGCTCCTGGTAGACCTCGCTGATGCCCATGGACAGCGTGGTTTGGTCCATGCCCTTGCTGAAGTGACCTGAGCCCACCAGGGGGATCAACTCCCACACACTCAGGCACTGCTGCTTTGAGTTCAGCTGCAGCTTCAAGTCCTCGAAACGCTCCTCCACCCAGCTTCCTCCCATCGCCTCGGTCAGCTTACGCAAGAAGTACTCTATCTGTGAAAGGGGACAAATACTGTTCAAAAAGCAAATAAGAGCTTTGGAGCTACAGCACTTTATAGAGGCCATTCCTCCCAAACTTCTATTTCAATATAGAAGTCAATATAAGCTGAGCGAAGTATTTAAAATGACTTTGATTAATTTCTCATGTTTTTTACACTCAACAATGGATCTTCCATCATTTGTAAAAGAACAGGAAGCTGGAAACTTCCTTTTCTGCTCTTGAGCAACTGATGTTTAAACGTCCAGCAGTGTTACAATTGCAGAACCACACGAGGACTGAAAACAAACGAAAGCTTATTTCAACCAATGAAGGCTGAAATGAGAAGTTCATGCTGATGAGCTAATTTTACTGCCCTCATATCACATTTATTAGTGACTTCCCCACATTTCAGTGAGAAATCTGTCACTTTGCTCAAAGTGCCACTGATGTGTTTATTTTCACACATTCATCATGAGCTTATATTTATTTTAAGCCGTAACCTTTTTTTTTATTTTTAACGTTTTTCCCCCCAGAGTGAACTGAGTTTCTTACATACAGGTTCATTTTTTTTTAAACTAAGCAGTAGGTGTTTCTGCTTTCTGTATCAATAAATGATTTAACTACTTCAGAAACATTTCCCACCTAAAAATCACAAACAAATCAAAGATAATTCCACAGTTATTAGTTCTAATTGCAAATCTCTGGTACCCCTTTAAAAGTAAAACATGACAAATATATTTCCAGTGGAACCAGTATCACTACTATTCATGTCTGATTTATTTCATTAAGCAAAGAAGAAATAAATAAAAAAGTTAAGCCACGCGAAAATGTTTTTTTAATAAACAGCATAAATTGCCATAAAATAATTCTATTAATCAACATTTAGACTACAATTACAGTAAATTAGAAATAAATCTTTTTAAGCTCTGATAAGGCAGTGATTTTTAAACTTTAAATTTACAAGAAAGCTTTTTTCAGAAATGTCTCTGAAACTGTGTACATTTAGCCACCAGGGGGCGCTTGGACTGCAAAAACCAGGTTTAGCGCCCCCTGAAGACCACTGGCAACACTGCAACATCTAAAGTATCTCCTCGTTTTGGAATCTGCTAGCACACCAATTAGGACCAGCAGATTGAGAAGTAATGAGGTTCCTTACAAGACCACATTCATCACTTAAGTTTAATTTTTACATTAGAAAACCAGAAATATATCTGATCATATAATGTGCACTGCTGTTTAAGGGGAACTCAGACTGCTGTTAAGAAGCACTTTGGGTCAGATGACCCCTTCAGCGACGGCTTTGGGTTTCCTAGGCAGATTTTTAGGAAGGGCAGCCTGAATGGAGCATCGGCTGCACTGAAAAAAATCATTAAATATATTAAACAAATACTTTGGACAAACGTTACACATTGGTTTTTCACGCATTTCCAAAGGTTTTTTTTTTTTCAAATCTGAACCTTATGAAACTTTTTTGGACTTTGCTTTAAGGACAGCTCTGTAGCAGAGAAAGTGAGCAATTTGTTAGGTCTTCCAAAAGAAGGGTCAAATATCGAGCCAATGCCAGAGCCTTACTTTTAACCAAATAGTAGAGTTTAAAGTTTCCAAAAAAAATGTATTCCTTTCTTTCTTGAGTTAATATAGCTTTATGTAGTGATGGACAAAGGAAAAAAAATAAATCTAAAAAAACATGCGCTCTATCATGATAGAGCGCATGTTGATGAGCATGTTGATGAGCGCATGTTGACTGACCAAGGAAACCTCACAGACCTTCAAAAAACAAAAAAAAATTGGTTGAGATGGTTTTTCTATCTTGTTGGTTGCATAAGAGCATCAGTCAGAGAGCCAATGAAGCAGACTGAAAATGTTTTATCATTATCTCCTTTCTATCTCCTCTTTCTTTCATCTTTTCTCTTTTTTTTCTTCTTTTGTTTTTCCTCTTCTGTTCTATTTACATTGCAGTGTCCATATAATCTGTAAAACTACCTGCATAATTATAATAAAGCAATTTATATGCATGAAACAAGTGGAGCAATATGGCAATAGCCCTACTGCTCCACTTGTGAAAGTAAAATCTGTTGGGCTATTTTTGGCGTCAAGACAATTATTCTTATTGCTGCATCGCCAGACAGAACAGTGTTTTTTTTGGCACTTTTTCGGTCAAGTCAGAAAAATCCCAAACGTATTAAAGTATGCTTTGAATTTTTATTTTATTTTATTGTATCTCTGCTTCTTTTTGTATATCTGTTTCTATCTCCCTGAATCCCATTTGACAGAAGGCCGCACACACGTATCCAGGTTCTGGTTCTGCCGGAGGTTTCTTCCTGCTAAAAGGGAGTTTTCCTCTCCACTGTCACTGCCTGCATGCATGGTATGAGGGATTGCTGAAGAGTCCGCAACAAAATGCAAGCGAAAATTATCGCCACAACATCTAGGAGGAGCATCAACTGGTTTTCCTTGACAGAAACTTTTAACCAATCTGACTGTATTGCTTCTGTAAAGTGCCCAGTGATGACAAGTGACGTGAGCTGGTGCTGCATAAATAAACTGAATTAAAACAAAATTGAAAAACAGAATTTGAAAAAAAAATAAAAATACCACCTGAGAAACGCAAGGTTCCTCTCATAACCTTCTGTTTTGATTAAAAAGTTTAATTTCTAGAAACTATAGAATTTTTTGTTTTCATTTTTTATGAGTTCATATGCAAAAAAACGTTTTTATAAATCTTACTTACATACTTTTTATTAGCAGCACCATGCAAAGAGTAAATTATGTCTCAGTTGTTTTTGGGGGTTTTTTCCAAAAATGGCTTTCTTTTTGCAAAAGAACTCTTCATTTACAAAACTTTTTTTTTTTTTTCCATTTTGCAAAAAAAAAATAATTTCAACAATAACAGAACAAAATTCACCCTACAGTTTATAACTATAGTATATAACAATAAAACACAAATATCTAAACTGACCTGCCTTTAAACTCAGTCTAAGCTCAGAATCTTTTACTTAAAGACTGAGGAAATGTTGAAAATTTAAAAATAGAGCTGCAGCAAACTAAACTAGGGGATCTGTCATATCTTGGTGTGAAAAGGCAAGTCTACCACAGAACAGCGATAAAGATCATCAACTGAAAGCTGACAAAAGGGGCCGCTTCATACCGTCGTCCATTTCACAATCAGTTTCTCAACCATAGAGCAATAAAACATTGCTTTCTGGCTTTTTTACTATACAGCCATAACAAATGTTTTTTATGGTTAATTTATCAAACAGACCAACATAAAGTGTTGCATAATATTTAAGCAAATAAATATCACGCATTGTTTTTTAAGTTTTAAATGAAAATCTGAAAAGTGTAGCAGTAGCACCAAATTCCTTTTATTCTACAACCTGCAAAATAAACCTTATCAGAATTCAGTGAATAGACTCCACCTTTCTATGCTTTATAGATGCCAAACAAAAGGTTTATTTTACGGCAGTGCAGATTTACTCTTCAGAGGAGTTTCATTATATGACATAAATAGTAAATACTGATTAAAGATTCTTCAGTAAGCCGCCCCCACCCGTTTCCTTTGACTGCTGTGATGTAATCTTACCTCCTCGGTGACGATAGTCAGTGGGTATCTGTCCTCTGACAGGAAGTTGAATATGCACCATATCTTGAAGGCGTCGTCGTTGGAGATAAACAGCTGTTTTTGATCCAGGTTCTTCCTTGAGCACAACGTCCAGCACATTTTATTGAACTCCTGACGGTCAAAGTTATCCCTCGCCTACAGCAGAGGAGGAAAAGAAAAAAGAAAAGAAAGAGGCTCTTGTGAGTCATACGTCTGACAACAAGGAAGAAGTTTTTTTCTTTTCTCAAAAATGGTTTATATGAATGACAAAGAACAACCTGAGCGGGAAAGACTTCCCCTAATAAATGTTTATATTTAGTAGGCAGTTTTTCCCTCCCAATTACACATTACTGAGTATTTTATTTGGATTGTACATTACAGAGCTGAAAACATAAGCAGTTCTTCACCTTTAGGTGGAAGGAAAGCGGTGCATGGTTTTTAGTTTATTTTTCAAACAAATAAAAAATTCCCATCTAATCCTTACATAAAGTTTAGTTTAACCACCTTCCTTTTACAGTCAGATACTGTTACCTGTAAATCATTTATTCTGCAGCTTTTGTGTAAAGGACTCATAGGTTATGCATAGAAAATAATCATTTATTGTCTTTGGAGAAGTTTGGGGGATTTCAGGAGAAAGAAAAGAGAAAAATGTTACAACTGAAAAAAAAAATCCTGTACAGAGATCAAAGCAAGCATACTAAGATCAGATCAATGTGTATGAAAAATGTAGGGAAAAAAATGTTTTTTGTTTGTTTATCTGGGCTGTTATATGGAAACTAACAGCTCAAATAAACAATAAAAGAGTAGTGATGGTTGCACTGTCAAGAGCTGGATCTCTGCACCTCCCCCCCTTTGCAGCTTCTCAGATGAGTTGGTCATGTCTTGGTGGGTTTGTGGTTGAGATGTGATGTTTTAAAGTCTAAAGATTGATTTATGCTCGACACGTCTACAAGGTCCGTGCAACCAAATTTCATCATTTTAGCATTCATGGCCCACATCATGGCATCTGCAAGGACATAACTTCCGCATCGCGCACCAGTGGCGATTCTGAACCAATTTTAGCTGGAAGCAAGGCTGGGGCCAGTCTGTTCATGGGTGGAATAGAGCAAGTAAATAAAACAAAAAAGGACAACAGTTTATCCATCCATCCATTTTCTGACACGCTTAATCCCAAGTGGGGTCGCGAGGGGTGCTGGTGCCTATCACAGCTGTCTACTAGCGAGAGGCGGGGTACACCCTGGACAGGTCGCCAGTTCATCGCAGCAACAGTTTATCATTTAATATATAAAGTGAACCAAAAAGCTACTCACAGATCTGGAGACTCTGACTTAGGAGACTCTGACTGTCATTCTGTTTCAATACATCTATAGCTAAAGGTGCAAGACCTTCATATGAAATAATTGTTAAAGTAAACCTGTAAATTAAAATATATATATATATATATATATATATATATATATATATATATATATATATATATATATATATATATATATATAAATTTGTTCAATGGACCTATCAGTTACAGTTTCTGTGCTAATGAATATCACAAATCAAAGGAGAGTGTTGGCCTAATTGTTAGAGCAGTGCGCTTATACTCTGAGGTTGCAAGTACCCGGTTCAATCCCCACAGCCTGCACTCTGGGTCCCTGATTAAAACTCTAAACCCCACACTGCTCCCCGGGAGCCACACCATGGCAGACCGCTGCTCCCCAAGAGAATGGGTCAAAATGCAGAGGTTAATTTCTGCATTTGAGATCAATTAAATTCAGTTCAATTAAACTGATTTGGTATTATCTGTTCAGTAGATGGGCCAGAACAAGGGTCAAGACCAGTTCTACAGAGGCAAAACCACTAATATCAGACAACTAGGAAAATCTGTGCTACATGGATATCTCCGTGTCCATGCTATTACTCATCTATCAAAAACATGGTGGCAAAGGTTTGCAAATAAAACCGTCCAGAGACAGTCTTCTGATTTAAGCCGCAAATATAGCCATGATGAAAAGATTTTTGAAAAACTCTTGGAAAGAAATTACTGTCACACTTGGATGACACTAAGAGGCTTTGCAAAAATAGAAAACATCTGTGTTTTTCTACTTCCTCATTTAGCGTGTTGTTGTTAGGCTTGACGTTTGTGATGTACACGCCCCCCTGGAGCTGGCCAGAATATCAAGGCACAAGGGGAAAAGTTGCAGACATTGTGTCTACCCGTCTTATTTTCCACACGGGGAACATGTGTGTCAAGCATCACCAAGCTTAAAGAACCGGTCACAACGAACGGGATTCCACGCTTGGACTGAACGATTTACATGTTATCCGTATGTAGAAGGATAACGGCATCGCTGCAAGGTGCAGATCAGAATTCTAGTGAAACGAAATGCAATTTTAGGAAAAAGTACAGATAAGTGACGGTGACGCCATAAATAGAAAAATCGTGACTTTTGTCGTGTTTCAACAACCAATCAGGTACTAGATGTGGTTGTGACATTAAGTCCTCGTTAGTATAGTGTAGAGTATCTCCACCATGTCACAGGAGACCAGGGTTGATTCCCTGACACAGACAGGACCTCACTGTTAGTTCCAGTTGGGGGAGTGGCGGCCTATTAGTTAGGTCATTGTGCTTTGAATCCAGAGGTTCTGAATTCAAGCCCCACTCCCACAGACTGCCACTCTGTGTCTCTGAGCAAAAACCCTTAATCCCACACTGCTGCCCAGGCACCACACAATAGCAGCCCTCTGCTCCCAAAGGGGATGGGTCAAATGCAGAGAGTTCATTTCGTTGTTCTGTACTTGTGACAGCATAATTACAATAAAACACAGGAAAAGGAAAGAAAAAAAGGATATAGGGTGAGGGAGCACAGCAGAAAGAAAAGCTTTTTTCAATTAAAAAGAAATACTGAGACAATAAAATTGACAAAAAGGATCAAGTAGTCAATGATTTTAAAACCTGTTTTAAGGACTGTTAAATTTGTTCTTCTAGCTCTAGCCCAGACCCCTACCAGCTGCCTCCTCTCCCAGCACCGGTGCCCTCAGTCCGGCTGAGTGCTTCAATCTCGCACTCTTGGCTTCAGAGCAGGAATGGCCGCCTCTGTTCCATTCTAAGGAATTCTTTCCAGGGTTTTTGCTATAATCTCCCGCTGCTCCTTTCAGACTTCCAATGCCACCTCACTTTGCTTTAGTTGTCTAGGCGAACCTCCACAAAGTGGGATCGTTTTGGTTTAAGCTTTGTTCAGCTTTCCAAAGTAATAAAAGCACGAGGACTGGCTATGCACCATGTTGAGGTGAAACGACGGCAGTTTTGATGAGTTAGTGGAGCCTTTTTCCCATCCTGTGAATCCCTTTGGTTCACCAAGCAAATTGTTAGCAAAATGCCATGCAGCCCAAAGCACCCAATAGAAGTATTTTTTCGCTGGTTTTGCGTTTGGTGTTAATGCACTGCAATAGCAGCTGGGAGGAAGAATCTATAATAACGCTCCTTAGTGCAACTAGTGAGCAGCAGTCCTTTACTGAAGGAGGTTTCTAGCACTGCAACAGCTTCAGGCTTGGGTTGAAGGACTTTATCCAACAGTAATGTTAATCTTGCTACAGAGTCCTTCTGTCACTCACCACTTACACTGTTTTCAGGGCGCAAAAAAAAAAAATAGAGTCAGCCGTTATTCATGATGACCTCATCAAACCTCTCCAGGTAGATAAGTTGTTGCTCCAAGAAACCACACTGATGTCACCACATATACAAAAAGGTCCTAAAGATTGCCCCTAAAACTGTGCATTAGTATTTAGTCCTTTTTACCGCCCCTAACCAAAACTTCCTTATAGGTCACTTAAATAGTCAAATTATGATAGCATTATTAAACAAAAGGCATCATAAAGACAATTGGAGGAAAGAAGAGAGACTGGAAAGATAGTCGAGAAGTTTAAAATGTATTTCATAAAAATATTAGTCCATCATCTAATGAATGAAAGAAGATGGCACAACCACAAACAATCTAAGACATGACTAACTCATCGGAGATGCTGCCAAGGGGCCTTCGTGGAAACTAGATGGGGTGCAAAGATCTGCCCTTTAGTACAATACTAATATGCTGATTGGGTGACATCATAGCTAGTACCTGCCTTCCATAATAAGCCAGGTACTAGCCTTATTAAGGAAGGCTTTCAGCAAATTGTAAGGTTTCAGATTCCAATAGGTTTCGTCTGCAGCTTTCTAGCGGAGTAAGCTGATAATTCTAACTTTTTCAAAATTTCAATTCAATTCAGTTTATTTATATAATGCCAATTCACAACACAAGTCATCTCAAAGCACTTTACAGTTCAACAAGATCATACAGTCAAACTGATTCAAAGTTTTCTATCTAAGGAAAACCAGTTGATTTTATTGTCTCATTAACTCAAAGGCAATCCCTCACACTAAGCATGCTTGTAGCAACAGCGGAGAGGAAAAACTCCCTTTTAACAGGAAGAAACCTCCAGGAGAACCAGGCTCAGTATGAGCCGCCATCTGCTGAGGCTGACTGGGGTTTAAAGAGACAGACAGCCAGGCAGACGAGCTCCGAGCCACCTCTCATGTCAGAGGATGAAGAGAGCACATCCAGCCAGTCACGGTCAGAGAAACAGGACCACACTGGAAAACAGGCCGATCTCCAGCATCTATAAACAAGGGTGTTGATGGAAGCAGCAGCTGATGTTTCTCTTCAGGGTGGTGTCACAGAAGATGAAGGAACAGACCAGATTAAGCTACTATGAGGAAAAGCAGAGAGAGCATTACGTTAGAGATTGAACTAACAGATTCTGCAGAATAGGAGAATAGAGACAGAATAGAAGCAGAAAGATGAAATGGGGGTCCCTATGTCCTCCAGAAGTCTAAACCTATAGCAGCATAACCATAGAGATAGCTCAGGATAACCTGAGCCACACTAACTATTAGCTTTATCAAAAAGGAAAGTTCCAACAAATCTTGTTGGAAAAAAGCACAAACATCTTTCCCATCTACAAATGCACAAAGTGCTTCCCTTTACTCCTTTTTTAAACAAGAAATTGTTGCTATTTTAGCTAAAACCGAGTCAGCTGAGGTATCGACAGGTGAGTCCCCCAACATAGCCATGTTTGTAATGCCCTAGCAAGGTCCTTCTGATTGTTATCATTCCTACATGTCC